ACATAAATATTGGTACAAGAGAGCGCCAATATATATGCGCCACACAAAACAATGAGAATTCGAAAAGAAAAGAAAAAAAGGTAAGGAGCGTAAAAAAAGAGAACAATAACGAAGAGATTGGTGTAAGGTAGTGTGGAAGTAATGAGGGAACGGAAAGGTACAATGGGAAGAAATTTTTCAGGTAAGGAAAATGCAACCACTTTTTTATGAAGAAAGTAAAAGAAGGTTACAGCGGGATCGCCACTGGCTTCTATTCTGAGCCATAGCTGATAACTTCTCTAGCCACTGTGTTGTACCATCTCTAGGACCCCAACAAGGGAGTCGTGAAGGACCGACACAAGCCAGCCCTTTGAAGCTTTCTTTCATACCACGACACCATGTCATGCACTGACCACCTCTCCGCTTCTTCCAACCAGTCCCAGAGTCGGCAAATAATGCACGACGTGGAATTCTCTGGGACGACATTCGTAGAACATGTCCAAGCCACCGAAGTCGGTGTTTCAAGATGGCGACACCAATTGAATTATCATCTCTGTGCCCGACACACACGATGCCGAACATTTGTATTACTGAGATGGTGTTGCCACTGAATGTCAACAATCCTTCGGAGACAGCGATGATCGAACACAGAGAGTCGTCTAACGTCCTCAACTCGGAGAGGCCAGGTTTCACAAGCATAGAGCAAAACTGCTCTCACCGACGCGTTGTAGATCCGACCTTTTACAGCCAGACTAACATCACGAAGGCGTCAAAGGTGGCCCAGATTGGCATAAGCCGCTCTGGCTTTCATTATTCGTGCATTGATCTCATCACTCACACCCCCACCAGCAATTATGCAGCTACCCTGATACACGAACTTCTCGACTGCGTCTATCTGCTCACCATCCAGGGTGAGTACAGGATTGGAATCCTGCCAGTCTTGTAGGAAGTACTTTGCACTTCGAAGGTGCAAAGCACATACCATACCTACGGACACTGATTGCCAACTGATTAAGTGCGGATTGCATGGCTTGGGTATTATCGCACAGTAAGACAATATCGTCCGCATACTCAAGGTCGAGAAGTCTTTCTCCAGGCAACAGATCCACACCACCATTACTTACATTCATCAGAGCTGTTTCCAGAATGTCATCGATGGCAAAGTTGAAGAGGAATGGTGAGATTGGGCAACCCTGCCTAACCCCACTGCTCGAATGGAACAATGGAGAGAGGTGGTTGTATGCCCTCACTCTGCCTGAGGTGTTTTTATATAGGGCTTTTAGGATGTTAATAAACTTCTCAGGCACACCCTTCTTCAATAGACAATCCCAGAGAACAGTCCTATCCAACGAATCGAAGGCAGCCCTGATGTCAAGAAACACTACGATTGTTGGCCTTTGATAAGTATGGCGGTGTTCTAACATTTGGCGGAGGATGAAGATATGATCAATACATCCTCGACCAGAACGAAACACATCATGCTCCTCACGAGTCAATCTTTCTCGGGTTTTGAACAACCTACGAAGTGTGACGGAAGCCAATAGCTTGGACGCAATCGGAAGTAGACTTATCCCCCGATAGTTGTTACAGGAACGACGTGAACTCTTTTTAAAGATAGGGACAACTATCGACTCATTCCATGACGTTGGCACACTCTCTAGGTTCTCAGACCTTTGTAAACAACTTCGTCAATTCCTTAGTCAGAAAGTGACCACCATCTTTAAAAAGAGCCGGAGGTAAGTCATCTGGGCCAGGTGATTTGTAACGCCTCAAGAGCTGGAGTTCCTTGCGGACTTCCGCCTCATTTGGTGGATCAATCGTCACCGGCCATGGAGGGCAGGACAGTCTGACCGATGTTGCCAGAGCAGCAGGCCAGTTGAACTGCCCTTCGAAGAATTCCGCCCATCGTCCAAGACGTCGATGGATGTTAGTGATTGGCATCCCATCATCCTCGCAGATTGTTTCACTCACACCAGACTTCTTGCTGCCAGTGGCTCGGATGAGTTGGAAGAGCTTCCGGTAGTTACCAGATGCAGCTGCTGCTTCCAGCTCATTAGCACGCTTCGACCACCAGGCTTCTCGGTCCTTACGCAAGCTTTGCCCAATTTCCTTACGTAACATCCTTCGTTTATGGTCAAACTCATGGTCACCCGGAGTAGACCGACGGGCTTCAATGAGTTGTAAGGAGCCTGAAGAAACCCAGTGCTTATAAGCGGGACGTATCGCGAACCCACAACTGACTGTACACGCCATTTTCATGGCGTCATGCAATTGCAACCAATGCTCATCTATACTTTTCAGTGGAATGGTAGCTAGCCTAGAGGCTAGCTCGGTTCGATACTTACTTGCAACAGAAGTTGCAACCAGCTTGCTAACATCAATCCGTTGATGGCGGTCACTTCGTTGTCCACTGAAAAGTAAGGCAAGATTGGCGCAGACCAAGGCATGGTCAGAGTCCAGATAGGTACTCCAAAAGGAGCGGCAGTCTTGTACACAACCACGCCAGCGGTAGCTGATCGCGATGTGATCAATCTGAGTCCAGGCTTGAGATGCAGAGGGAGGACGCCAGGTGGCACATCGGCGATGACTGTGCCGAAAGTTAGTGCTAGCCGGAAATAGGTTGTGGTCTGTGCACAGTTGCAGTAGACGGTCCCCGTTATCTGACCTGCGACCAACGAGACCCCATCGGCCGCCTAAACGACTCTCTTCTGTGCCTAGACGCCTGACCTGAGCATTCAAGTCTCCGGCTAGTACTACAATATCTGTCGAACGCACTTTCTGGAGAAGAACAGATAACTGGTGGTAAAACCCAACCTTGATTGCATCCGGGCTGCAATCTGTCGGAGCATACGCGGAGATGATGAAAAGACATCACTTCTCACGCCGATTTCTTCTCACTTTGATGGAACTTTCTATTCTAACAGCACATAACCGACTGTTATTGGGGATCCAATCGATTAGTGCTGCTTCAGCTCTAGCGCTTAGTGCGACACGAACGCCAGCAAGACCAGACGAAGATGCCACAGGGTCCCTGGATAAGCGCACGTAAAACAAACTTTTTGAAGTGACAGATGGAGAGCAAATTTGTAGTACTTCACCAGTCTTGAATACGAGTCTCGGATAGACAACAAACGTCGATATGAAGACTTTCCAAAGACATAGCCAGCCCTATCTGTTGTCCAACCTGCATAAGTGTGAGAACGTTGAAGGCAGCCAGTTTGAATGGTGCACGTGGTTTCAGAAAATCTGCTTCAGTATTCGTGTTCCGTAGTAGCATACAATTCTCAACCAGTCAGTGACTCGAGATCGTTTATATACAGTCGAATTTCCACCAAAGACGAGCCGCTGTATAAGTATAAAAGAGGGTGAATAATGTGGTACTACAAATTCGCTCTCCATCTGTCACTTCAAAAAGTTTGTTTTACGTGCGCTTATCCAGGGACCCTGTGGCATCTTCGTCTGGTCTTGCTGGCGTTCGTGTCGCACTAAGCGCTAGAGCTGAAACAACACTAATCGATTGGATCCCCATTAACCGTCAGTTATGTGCTGTTAGATTAGAAAGTAGTTGAATGATATAGCTGAGAATCATTCTCAATGGAGTAAATATGTGTAATCTATTTCTACCCGAAAATCCTTAGCTTATTCCATACCTTGATTTCTTTTTTTACTGCCACTAACTCTACTTTGATATTAATCGTGTTAATTTCACCTACTTGTGTTAATGAAGTATGACGTAAAATATTGTTCTAGATTATGTTTCTTATAGATCGCTAACAGATTTTGAAGCTCTAATAATCGCTTAACTGGTCATTCTCTTCATAAAAACTATTTCGCAGCTAATGATTTTATTTAAAATTCTAAATTGTGTACTATAGTGTATTCCTATCATGCCTAGCAGAACAATTTTATTAGACAGATGAGACAAATATATATCTTACCAAAAAGACAATAAATCATAGGATCAAGTATAAGTATTTTAAAGCCTTTTCAATTTTACATCCAAATAGAGTCATCCATTTACATATTTTTTTCAAGCATTAATCGTACGTAACGAGTAAATCAGTTAGTAAATTATAGTTCTCAAGATTTTGTTTACCACACGATATTTTTCATTCCACTTATTATAGTTCACTTAATATGAATGAGATTCATGATAACCTTGAGAAATAATTTTTCATCAAAACATACCAAGCAAATCATGCTCAAAGGATCATAAAACACTTATATGTTTGAAGTAATCCGATTGACAGCATCACGTGCCCACTGAACAAATCTCCAAATGCTATTGTCTTCAAGTGTTCTGATTATCTGACATATTCGACAAGATAATTTCATAGGAAATATCAATAGTACAACAACCACTCGAGTTTCACAATGTTGTTCAAGAAATACCTGTTTGAGTAAGGTCAAGTTATTTATCAATGATATTAGCAAATATAGAAATGACATAGAATATTTGGTATCACTCAATTATGTATAATAAGCAGACAACTTTCGGTAATTATTTCATTTATCATTTCATTATTATTGTTATGTTTAGGTCTCATCTTTTTGTATGAATACACTGTATATACGATAGAACAGTTAGTCTAATGTTCAATGAATACTAATATCATTACAAATTAACCCCAAAATCACTCATAACTTAACATTGTACGACTTTAATGAGTTCAAAATCATGAGTATTAACTTGAAGTTTCAGTATTTAACTAATATCGTCACATGGACCCTTTTGGCTTCGATCCAACCACAAATTCTAACTGAAAATAAGGAATTTACTGTTGTACATTGTTTGGATATATGCTCACGACTGAGAAGGACCTTTTAATAGTAGTTATGACAATAAACGAAGATGGTAATACTCTACCGATTAGAACAGGTTTCATATATTGTTCGACCTGAAGAACTGTCACAGGTCCAAGTGAGAGATTGAAGAAGTTGCAGTTTTTATTATATCCAAAGATATACACAAGTTTGCATATATTATGAGTTAACGGATTTTGTGAATACTACTAAGTGATACTAAATTTAATGGTTTTAAGACAAAAGTGTTTACAATTAATTCAACTCCAGGATAGATAACAAAATACACAATATTGAGGAAATTTGATGTGAAACGAAAAAGCCAACTTAAATACCCAGCTGAGATCTTCAGCTTTCTAGTTCTTGTCGTCTAGTTATGTGAATAATGTAGCTTGACAACGAACTCCAGGTTCATTTGGTCGCCTTAATGGTTGATAGCTTAGTAGTTACAGGCTTGAATCACGCCCTACACATTCCAGTCTGAACAACCAAATAAGTATCACTACCTCGCCCACTACGGGTGTCTTGATGTAAAATACATGAATATGTATCTGGTAATTGATTTTTTGATAATTAATACGAATTGTGTGCATTTCAGTGATAATATCCGACTGCCTAGGCCATTGTAAACAGAATGTGGTTGAAACATTTAGTTAAAGCCAATTGCTTTAACCAGTAAGTAACTGTTCCAATTATATACTTTGAGATCGATCATCCAGTTAGTAAACCCCTCCCGCTATCATACTTTAAAAGATGAAAAGAAGGAGATTTCAAAAAGCATATACGTGTATTTTTTAGCTTTAGGAACCAGGATAAAAACAGATAATGATAAAAGAGAACAGAAGTTACTGATTTTCTTTCATTTTTATGGTTAATCTTGCCATTTGTAGAACACCGTCACGAGTTTTATGTACACCTAAGAACCCAGTAGAATGTACAAATATACAATCAGGCAGCCCAACAATACTACTTAACTGTTCATCACGTAAACCTCTCCAACTTTCAGGTAGAGGAAGTCTAAATAATGTCAATTCGAAAAAAATGACGGATTCACCGGAATAATATATATATATATATATATATGATTACGCAATAATTAACAAATAGCCATTAATATCACGAACCAACCTAATTTAGACATTCACTGAAATCCAAAAAGCACTAGACAGCTGAGGAGTAGTAGTATGCGACTCCTCAACACTGCGCACCAACGACCTTATCGTGGATCGAACCCGGTCTCGCACGCAACCACAACCTCCAAACCACTGAGCTGGAATTCAGTAATGCATGTCATATGTCCGCCATCGAGATCTGAGTCTGGTCCTCGGTAAGTTTGTCGACGCACATTGCTAAGCACGAATCATATGTTCAGTGCTTTTCGGTTTTCAGTGGCTATCTAAATTAGATCGGTTTATGATATAAATGATATCCAATAATCTGTACAAACCTCTAATACTAATAAATAATGATTGGTTTAGGATTTAAAAAGATCTCTAGTTATAGGTGAGAAGCTCCATAATAACCATGAACTCAGGACAGACAAGTACAAAAAAAACAACTAGTCCAATATAGATGAACAGTTAAAAACAAAGTGTGTCAACTAATGACACAATAGTTAGTTTATGATTAACCGATCACTAAGAAATTATACAACAGAAAGACTAGTTAATATCAGATGGGTTTTGTGAATATTATAGTAATTTCAATGGTTAAAATCATGAATCAGTTGAAACTAGACCACCATGGAAAACCTGGAAGCATTGGACGGCCGGTTCGTCCTGGGTTCAAACCCCACAGGAGCGAGGTCGTGGATGCGCACTGCTGAGGAGTCCTATAATAGAACGAAACGGCCGTCCAGTGCTTCCAAGTTTTCCATGGTGGTCTACCTTCAACTGACTCATGATCTTAACCATTGAAAAAGACTAGTTACTAATGAGTACTACAACTATAATATACATATTTCATAATAAATAAATAAAAACTTACCTTTGTGAAAAATTATTATGCTCATTCAATGGTATAGCTTGTATAGTCCATGTACTATCTTTACGTTGATAAATAACAAATAGAATTTGATTCTGTTTTTCAATTTCATTTACATTTACATTATTTAATAATAAAGATTTTTCAATTTCAAAAAAATGTGCATTCCAAGGACATCCAGTACCTTCAATATAAATTATTGTACCAGATGAATCAATGGAATATCGATTTTTCACAGCATTTAATACAATTTCACGAGCTGGATACCATGTATCAGCATAGAAATGAACTAATGTAATAAATTCTTTATCAACTAATTGTAATGCATTATGAAAACAAACCTAAAATAAATGGATATACACATATACAAAAAATTATTATTATCATATGAAACAACACTAATCATATAAAAATGATTATGTTTAGAGTAATCTAATAGTCCCTTACAAAATTTACAGTTTTTTTTAAATATCAGATGAGTTTTGTGGATATTATAGTAATTTCAATGGTTAAGATCATGAGTCAGTTGAAGCTGGACCACCATGGAAAACCTGGAAGTACTGGACTGCCGTTTCGTCCTATTGTGGGACTCCTTAACAGTGCGCTTCCACGACCTCACCCCCTGCAAGATTCGAACCCAGGACTTACTGGTTTCGCGCGTGAGCACTTTTATCGTACTATGGGCCATGATATACCATTAAAAAGGAAGTTAATCTTAAGTGTTAGAAAATGTTTACTTTGAAATGGAGAATAGTTTTCTTTATGTGTTACAAAATGGAATACATAAATACTGCAGTACGATGACAGATATGTTCTCATTGTTGTTATCGTCTAACTATAATCTTATATTAAGTAAGAAAGTTTATTATGTAGCGAAAATTAGATTCAATTTTTCAACTGGTATGAAGTTATTTTACTAAAATGCCCTCGTACGGTCGAAAATGGGAAGAGTTAACTCTCCCTCTGAAAATGATCTCACATGGTCACGCGTATATAGCCTCCGCCAGAAAAGTCCTACTCATTGCCTTCTCGCGGCATTACTATTGTTTACGAAATTGAGAAAATGAAAAGCGAATGTCCGATGCCTTAACCAGGTTAGTGGATATGGAGGTTCTACCTAAGGGAGCTTGAAAACCATCATTCCCAACCAGTGGTGCATATGGGCTCTAGGATCCTGAGGGAACAAATGGCGTGTGAACCTGTTGTTGGTCATCGACTACAATGGGACTGCATCTCCTTACGTTGCTCCACTGCCTTGTGGATTAGACCTCTAGGACACACACTTCTTCCCATATGAAACTAGTCAGCTAGGTGTGTCTGCATCCCAGAGTTGATGTTCATTCTGAGACTGGAATTATTATACTGTAGACCTTCATTTGTAATCTTAGAAAAATAGACATGTACATCAACTTACAGTTTCATCTGTATCCAATTGATTCCAAGCTGGATTCATACGATTCACTCGACTACTTAAAGATGTATTCATAGAATATCTAGAATTCAAAATGATTAAATATCAATTTGAAAATTCAAACAACCTTAAAGGTGTTATTGCCATCGGAACACCATTATCGATAGCGTCTATCTCAACAATAAATGAACTATACATCTATAATAACATAAATAAAGGGAGAAAATGTTTTGTCAAATTCTGAAGGAAGAAAATTGCATCCAGAAATAATCAATTTCTTAATTTACAAAACCTACCTTATCAAAAAGTGCCGTCACTAATGGATCCATAGTATTTTCATCTATACCAAGTATACAACTTAGTATTTTTCGACCGAAATGAACGTATATCAAACCTGCACTACTTAATTTTATATCCCAATCAGAATTCGGATAAAAATCTTTATAAGTAAGGTTGAATTCTCTACAAAAAGTAAGATTTAAAGAAAAGAGGAAAAAAGTTGAATTAATTTTAACAAATTATAATGCTAACCTTTGATGATGGTCGTATAGATGATTTTCAGCATTGAATACACCGCCAACGTCAACGACGATATCACATGTTGACAAAATACTTGAATCTCTTGTGCGTATAATTTCAGCATTTGAGTATTCCGGTAAATGTTTAAGCATTGCACATGCAAGTATTTCATCTGCATGGAATCGTCCATCATGTGTACCGATACGCAGTTTTGAATTAGCTACCATTGATAACAACGAAATATTGTTAGCTACATGAAAGACGAGAACAACACAGTATGATTATTGACTAAAAGAATTGATTGAGTAAAGCCCAATTATATTTAAGTCGACTGATTTACTAAGTGACATTTTCTTGTACTTGGTTTAGAGCCAAATCACAAGTGTGAGAGGCAATTATGCGACATGGAAGGGTACTTATCGAGTATGAGTTTTAGTGGCTAAAAGTTGAATGTTTTAACTACATAGGTACTATTCCGATTATATAATAGGTTCATGCTGTCGAAAATATTCACAATTTTATGATATTTTGATAAGTAGTTTGGAAACGTGTAGATTTTGTCAAGAGAATCATATGTTTGCATATACGATATCAGGTGAAGTAGTTGGTGTGGGTTTTGTTTTGTATAGGCAAAATTATAAACTACCGCTCTCAATACTTCATGAGGATGAATGTTGGAATGATTTATTCGATAATTTAATAATTACAATACATATCAACAAGTGAATGGTGATATTAACTACGAAATAATACTTTTAAGCAAGTGTTTGCAGTGGTGCTAAACTCAACGTTTTAACTAAATTATTAGTCTTATTTAACTGTAAATAAATTTCAAATTAGGAAATGCATTTTTTTAAAGTTGGTAACATTCGCAACGTAATCTTTCTATTATAAGCAAAGATGGATGGTGGCTAGCAGTGGAATCGAGGACGCGCGTTTCGTCCTATTTGGGAGTGATCAGATGGATGCACCTGCTTTCTGTATTCTCATTGTATAGTAAATAGGAAAGTGTAGATGCATTCATTATTTGTCTACCCTGAAATCCTAAATTTCAAACTAATTTTATACCTTTTACTGTGGGAATTCATTCGTTTTACTCAAATTAGGTTCGCTATTGCTAATCCTTTTTTTGACAATCCCTGATACAACTATTCATTCGACATATATATTGATAATTTCCTCACGCAGCCCTAATCTAACTGCTATTTGAAGTTTGTGCTGATGATGTCGTCCAGAAGGACGATGAAAGGTTCAACGACCAAACCATCCAGCTCAGAAAACAAAACTCCATCAAAATCATCCATCTGAGCCACAAATCTTCTCCATCATTTCAGTTACAGCAATTGCAAGTAAACAGCTATTAATCTAAATCAAACAAACAATAATTGACATTTAGCAACTTAAATCATATTAATAATCTATCGTTGGAAAGATATATCAACAAGAATAACACCTTAAATCATCACATTGCTTCTAGATTTTCAATGGTTGTCTAACTTAAATCCATTCGTGATTTCAATCAAAAGAAGAATTGTACTTTAAGTCAACAACTACATAGTATGACAAAATGATTGCTTTTAAGTTGTTCCAAGTCGTAAACAACGTAGGAGCTGAAACTAACGTACATCAACCAAAGTCGTGATATTACATTCACGCAACAAGAAATAATTAAGAAGACGGACAGTTGAGAAGTTAGATTATTATTAGCGTCTCTTTTATTTAAAAACAGAAAAGTGTAATCTGGGTACTCCAAGTTGATAATTGAGTTTCGTAGTAAGAGAATAATCCTTGGAAAGATCGATAAAGAAAGTATTATTTCTGAAAATATAACCATGATAAATATAGAAATGAATCAAGAAAGTGAACAGAAAGGTTACTGATCATGTTCTATATTAACTTTCATAAATTGAAGTGTGTACTACCAAGGAATAACACTAAATAAATATTAAATATAATCTTTTAAAATTTCTGAAATACAATAAAGTATGCCACTTATGATAATCTAATTTAACAACACCTTCACATACATAACACTACAAATACGTTCATAACTAAAATACATGTTAACGTGTAATATGACATCTGAAATAGATTTTAATCTAATGAGGCAACCCTGAGTAAGAAGGAGGTCAAGGTAAAGAATAAAAACACTTTCGGGAATTATTGATAAGAATTGTCATAAATAACATAAATATTATAGTTTAGAAAACATTAGTGTTAGTCAATGACAAAATGTTATGATGAGAGACCAAAATTTAACAGCGTGTTAATGGACTATTCAAAAAGGACCAAAATAACAGAAAAGAGAGCCTACGTCCGATTCAAAGAACATATTCCGAAAAGTATAACATCAAATAAATTGAAAGCATTCAACAGTGTCATCGCAAGACATCTTCTTGACACAGGACACGGCGTCGATACACTGAAGTCCTTTAAGGTGATTAATAAACAATCAAGCTCCAACCTTCTGAAAGTTGCTGAAGCATTAGCAATCAAACGTCTAAAACCAGACCCATGTATACAAAAAAAGAGAGTAATAAATCTTTCTTTACCCTGGTAACAATAACCCCCCTTTTTATTCATTTATTTCTATTTATTTATTTATTGCGTCATTATTCCAACTCTTTCTGAATTTTAAATTACATCATACATAGTTGACTGATTTCAATTCATATTTTCTTTATTACCATTAATCTATTTTCATGAGTTCTAATCACTATTTCAATGTTCCGGAACTTTCCCTCTCAAACTTTATTTATTCGAGACAAAAATTTTATGGCCTCATTAACTCTATCGGAATCTTAGCTACACCATGATACATTTATTTATCCTTAATCACCCTCTTATGTATAAGTATGTCAATATCTGTAATAATACTGAATTTTAAATATTTTAGGTTGTAAAGGGACTGATGAGAACCTAACGAAATCAAATGAATCCATTTATTATTCTGCATCAATCTTTGTTTTTGCTCTCTAAAAGTTATTAACGATACAGTAATTTTGGTGGAGTTTAATATTCTGAGCTGAGTAGTGAAGTTTTCATTGTCTTTTAGGACATTATCACCCTTTGTGGAAAAATAACTCAGAATAGTTTACTTCTATCTAACGCTTAATCTTAATGATATTGCCTAGAAGGAAAAAATAATCTCACAACTAAACAATTAAGGTCCGAGAATAAAACCGCACCAAAAACACCCACCTAAGTAAATCTTCACCATCTCATAGTGTAGTAAAAATTAACAAATATCGTAACTTACAAACTGAACACCAAATCGGATTATATTATATTACAGCTAATGATATTAACCGATTACTCAAACCGAAATGGTGGAGTACATGAATTAAATTTCAAATCCGCTAACTCACAGCTAAATATATTAACTACTAAGCTACTGATCCACTAATTCACTCTCTAACCTCATATTTACCATGTACATTTACTTTATATGAAAACAATGGAATTAGTGTTGACGCTACTATTGTAATTATGTGAAGACTATATTGTTGAAAATTGTAGCTCAATAAGCATAATCCGTATCATCAGTTACATTGGTATCATTTTTTTCTAAATACTGAAGCTAACTCATAAAGGTAAGTACTACAAAAGTACGTAACGATGATACAAATGTATATTACAAGAAATATCTCACTTTTAGTCAACTGTACACAGAATGAAAATAGATAAGCAGGGAATTTTTGAAGCTTGTTGAATCGATAAACACTTTGAAGAATCTAAAAATACAAAACTGAAAGGATTAATTTCTGTTTCAATCATACAACCAATAAATTCATCTTTTTTAAACAATCAATATACAGTTCCAGTTATGCAAATAAAGACGTGGTCAGTCTAATTTACTTAAACATGCAATAGATTATATTATCAACTATATGTAAGTTTCTAAATAATGAACACTTAAAATGTCAATGGTTGAAATCATGAGTCAGTTGAAGCTGGACCACCATGGAAAACCTGGAAGCACTGGACGGCTGTTTCGTCCTATTGTGGGACTCCTCAGCAGTGCGCATCCACGATCTCGCCCTCCCCCGAGAGATTCAAACAAGAGCAACATATTTTTTCGAACATTTAATGTTTACATGAGATGACTTGTCAAATTGAAGACAGTAATAACGAAAGATTACAGTATGAAGTCATATGATAAAGTAGAGTAATCATGTATATTCATACTAATATGAAATCATATAATAACTAGTTCGATTTAGTAAAGTATACAACGTGAAAGATAATAAATTAATAGTCATTGTGTATGCAGACTCATGGTAAATCATAATCAATAACAGGTTAATATGCAATCAAAAATGTTATCAACTAACGCCAGTTCCTTTATATTATAACTACTGAAGATGGCTTTAGATGCTTACTATTAAACAGTGAAAAATACATGACAAAAAAAAAAGATATTTACAGGATTTTTTAATTTCTGACAAATTTTGCAGCAACTCATTGACTAAGTTAATATTTGGAAACTGAATTTTGAGCTACAATTTCTCGGAATAATAACAATTAATAATCCTCTTCTGTTTAAAGTGCCGTAAATGAATTGGGATTCAAAACCATAACCCAGTAGTCAATTATCGAATGTTTTAATCATTGAACCAATACGTTTAGCTTAAACTTAAAGAATTTTGATCACAAAATCAAACAATAAACAAATACTAATCCAGTAGTTTTCTGTTTTATACTAACGAAAATTGATTCCAACATATTGTATATGATTTAATCAATAAACATATACATTTGTGCAATAGTAGATGCTGAGTAGTTTGAGCTATCGGCTTTCGATCAACAGGTTACCCGTTATGAATCCATTCCGCCTATTTCTACCCGAGGGGTGGGCTAGTTAATACTACATCTCCCATACAGTTAATGTGACACAAAGCTGTGTAGTATAGATCTGTACATTTTAGAAATAAAGTAAAAGCATCAATGGCACTAAACACACAACATTCGACTGAAACAACAAAGATTCCCAAATATAATGGAGTAAGTTGATACGATAATAAGGAACGAATTGTATTGAAAAATATGACTACCACAGTCTACATTGTGGATTAGTTTTAGTCAGATAACCGTTGCAAACGAGGAAGCATTTAGCAGCTTTGTTGATTGTGGTAGAGCCATAAAACGAAAAAGTAGATTAATGAAATTAAATAAGCTATCAAGTGGTAAAACCCAAAGGAAACAAATGATCATCTCGATTAGTAAACTAGTCACTTTACAAGAGGGATTACAAGTATTATCTAATAAAGGCCGAAGAACTCACTAGCTAATTGGATAACTTATTGGGTGTTTGAAGTGAAAGAAAAGAATTGAAGTCCCAGAGTAAGTATTCACACTAGGATCTAAGTACATACAATGGAAGAGTATCAAATGTGATTAAACACGCGTCTTGGATTCCACTACTACCCAATATCTAACTTTGTTTTAAAAAAACTTGTTACTCAACGGCAATAGCGAGACAATCTGCTAAGAATGTACATATGCCAATAGACACTGACCAATCATAGTCCTTAAAATTAACAACGTGAAGATTAAAACATTTACAAATAAAAGGATTTAAATGCTTGAAGATTTAAATGAACTGTATGAGTGATCGTAAATTGTGTACATTGGTCACCAATTTTTATTAGCTCAATAGTTATTAAAGCTTACCAATAACAGATAACTCAATCGACATGTAATCAATTTACTATATGTCTAGATAAGTTACTGATTAGAAGCGTATAGTAAAGTTCAGACTATCTTAAGGTTGGATTTGAATTGAACTAAAAGGACTTAGAATTCGTAAGACTATAAATGAACAGACAACAAAAATAAACACATTCACCTGATACTATTTTGCCAGATCAGATATGACATTTGTAGTATCATACAACAACATACAAGTACAAGCAAGCAAAATTTAGTAGAAATAAGAGCAAAAAAAATAATACAATTACATTTATTGAATCTATAATCTGATGTTTAACAATAGAGCAATGCAGTTTAACCCAATAAGTTACGAAAAAAAATAGAACCTATTAAATAAACAATGGCAGGGTAAAGATAAAAATACATATTTCTTATTTTCAATAAAAAAACAAACAAACAAATAGATTTGTTTATCTTTTGTACAGCGTTTAGTGATGAGATGAAATGCTATCGAAACCGTAAGAATAATAACAAGCGAATGAATGTATGTATATATGTTTCAATCTTTCCCTCTACCTCTACCTCTACCGCGACCACGACCTCGACCACGTTCTTTTGTATTGTTGCTATCAGAAGATGAACATTGTTCTCCTCGTTGTAATTTAGATTTCTCAGTGTTTATGCGCTTTTTCGGATCTTCTTTTTTAATCTAGAAAAAAAATATATATATTAGATATAGAAGGAAAACCAAAGGATAGATAACTGATAAATATAAGTATGATAACAACGAAAAACAAAAAATACTCATATGGGGAGCCAATCAGAAGTAGCCTTATGAGAAGGTCAATCGATGGCAACCAGAAGTGGCCTAAAGGACAAGTGCATTTCATTGGCTAAATAATGGATCAATTTCCTAAGGATTAGAGTGGTATATATATTTATGAATAAGTATCTGTACATTTTATTCAGTAGTTCAATATAGTTTCCCACTCTTTCTTGTGTTTTCACTCAAGTAGTCAGTTGGGGAGTCGGCGCGTAACACACCGCTTATCAGTATCAGATTTTGGACACCGCACCTCACAACAAAAACAAATGACGACGGTTAGCAGAAGACAACAGAAAATGTCAGTGTACATTGTTGCATTATGTAGATTGTTCAAATCAAAACAGACAAATGTCTACAGTGCAACAATACAAAGGTAAAAGTGATTTATTAATGCTGTTTAAGGCGTTTTCCTTTATTCAATAGTTAGCAGTGTCAATCCAAATATAATATAAAGTACTGACATCTTGAATTCAGATGTATACTATTCAATTTAGAATTAAAAGCCTTACATATACGAGCAGATGAACATACATATCTACGGATCTCATCTTGGTAGAAGATATTCACCTCATAGTCATAAGATATAATATTATTCTTTACAAAATGCAATAAATTTTTATATGGACAATCGTTGCAACATACTAAAATCATGGCATCATTCTTCAGGTCGACTTTTTCGTCTTCCTTTTCTTCTTCTTCATCATCATCGTCGAATAGACCAGAATCATTTTCAATTTCCCCTTCAAATGAACCTGGAGCACCACCACCACGTTTACGTTTAAAGGAACCACTTGATGAGATGACATACGGTAGTAAATGCGATGATTTATTATACGTACGTGTTAATGCAGCTTTGACCTTAAAGAGGATATAAATGAGTACATTAATAATAAATTATTTAAATGAGCTAACTATAACAGTTAGAAAGTTGATTTACGAAAGTTAAGAAATTAATTTATCTAAATAATATAATAAGCAAGTGATATGACTGAAATTCATTTGACTAAATTCCATATGTAGTCAAACATGTTCAATTACGAAACATTTAGTTAGAAATTGTCATAGGGTTGGTATTCAATAAATCTTTGTGGTATTCTACAGATATGGACAGAAGAACAATACTGTTTGATTGAAGCTGTAGCTACATGACAATTTAATTGCCCCTCCCTGTGTGTTGAAGAACAATTTGTTTTCACCTTAAACTTACCCTGTTAATAGTGATTTATTATATAGAGTGATGTAAGTCCCATTATTTTACAGATTTCCTTTGTCTTTTCTTTTAATTTGCCTCACTTTACGTTTCATTTTACATGTAAAAATACATTAAATAGGTTCCTACATAATAGAGGGAATATGGTCAGTGATGAAATCCAAGACATGCATTTCATCTCATTCAGAACTAATCCATGTATATACTTGCATCTCAGTGTAGACATTCACGCTAGTACTCGAAACTAGTACCATTCAGTTTTACACATACCATCCATTATCCACTGAGCTACCGAGTTAAGGTACCTCACAAGCTTATGAATCACGAATAGATTCTAATTGAAACTGAAATAGTTTGGATTATCATGTTGTTGATGTTTATGACTGAATTTTGATCAAACATAATTGTGAGAAATGTATTGTTCTGAAAAAAACAAATCTCATCATATTAACCACATTTAGCAAACAAACTGATTATTTCAAATTAATATAATCAAATTGATCATCTATTCATTAAATCCATCATATTGATCTTGATAGAAAAAGATTTCAGAAGATAGAAACACTAAGAAAAACAAGTGGAGGTATTCTACTTAACTAAGACTGGGATTCATAAAGAACTATATCCCTATGTATTGAATACCAGGAGTAACATGATTAATTAAACCAGTGAAAAATACAATAACAATGCGAGCAACAACAGTTTCACTTCTATTCACCAAATCAATGCTGTCAAAATAAACTTTTAAAGTTGTACATAAAGCGAGCAGATAAAAAAACATAAAAACATAATTAAAGTAAACATTTACGTTGAATTTCAATGTATCTCATTCTTCAAGTAAAAAAAAGGTGGAGTAAAAAATCTACACAAAAATTTGTTTCTATTAACGATTGATACAACCTTAACAAAACAAGGAGTTAGTGAACTGTTGCGTATATATGATACATTAAAACCTATACATGTATGTGGTAATTCTGCCGAATGAACAATCGGTGCGATTTCGCATCCGCTACCAGTAACCCCTAAGTTTAATTTTTCGCGGGAATTTACACACAAGAGAAAAAGCACGACGTGCAGAAAGAACGTCTTACTCTACGGTTAAGTTTATTGACAGGGAAACGATAGTATTTGTAGATATACACGACCTTGGGTTTCTGGAAATTTCGAAAGCCATACTAAATCTAGCAGCAGTATAGTTTAATATCCAATTAGGACCGTGGCACGTAATTCTACAATTTCTATATGTTTCCAAGAAGCTTCCATTCAACGCTGATTGGATCAATGGTACCTAGCGTTCCTGGGCTCCTAAAGACTTTGACGGAGGATATTTGAAAGGTTCTTCTAACAGCGTTTTCATTAGCACATTGATGACTATTAAAATAAAGACAGCTCTAATTAAGTTGATCGTATTAATTTCTTCTGAGCTTAATGATAAAAAAAATCAACGATTCAAAACAGGTGTATATGAACATCGCCTATTTTGAAGCTTGAATAATCCCTAGTGAATGTCATATTTCATTTCACATTAACTCTTAAAAACAAGGAAGTTTTATATGATTCATTTCTTTGCTCTCATTAATCTACAATAAATATGGTATTTAGTCGGATAACTACAAATCATTACAGAAAAAATCCGTTTGCCATAAATTACACTATAAGATTATTTATGAGATCTGATTATAACGTTCATGCCTTATTTAACCAAGGCGGTGCTATAGAGAATTTAGTCAAACAACAGATTATTAGATCCACAATTATTCAAGTTCAAAGTATTATTAATAAATCAACACATAAACGAACAATAATATCCAGTCATCTCTTATATACACCAAAAACTACAGAGACTCAAGTTTAAAAAACCTTAAAAATTACTATAATATCCACAAAATCCCTACTGATATTGATTAACATATGCTCACTAGTTACTGTCTCCAAGATGTATTTCCTGGAGTTCTAATGAGAAGCAGTGACAATAGGAGTTCAACCAGGTCTGTTGTGAGATAGTAACTCACTGAAGACAATGGTAAATGTGTCACTCAATCTCATGAATTAGTTGAAGTTAGATATTAACACCGTTGGATGCCAGCTCAGTGGTGTAGAGGTTAAGTGTTCGCGCGCGAGACTGATAGGTCCCGGGTTAGAATCTCGCGAGGCAGGATCGTGGATGCGCACTGCTGAGCAGTCCCAAAATAGGACAAAACGGCCGTCCAGTGCTCCCAAGTTTTTCATGGTGGTCTAGCTCCAATTGACTCATGATCTCAACTATTAAAAAATTACGATAATATCCACAAAACCCCTTTCTGAATTTAAAAGAAAACCGTAAACTTCCTTTTCATTGGTCAAATAGGCATTGGTAAACAATTTTATCAGTTTTTATCACCCTTTATTTATCGACATTCTTTTTGTACCTTGTCTTTACTAGATATATATTATTTAGACTGATTATTTACACACAGCACTCGTTTATCATTTGATTTTTAATAATTATTATTTTAATGAGTTCATCTTTCAAAGTTCTAACATATTTGCTACATCAATATATATATGCTCATGTCATTTATTATTCTTATACATACTAGTATATACTTGTCACCTTAGAATCACAATCCGTACGATTAGCATTAAAATTTCTTAGGTATAATTGTTATATCCGGATAAAGAAGGTGAATAGTAACCGCTAGGATCTATTTATGGATTATTATTATTATTATTATTATTATTATACATATTCTTATTGTATAACTTAAGTAACTATATTATATGCATATTCATATTCCATTTATTACGAGCTTTTATATGATCTATTGACTACTATTATACGAGTTACTATTCTTAGGATATTTCTAATTCATTAGTAGCAGTCTATCACAATTACAGTCACTTTTTGGTTTGATCTTGTATAACTGTTATTTTCTGTTTTATGATATGATGAGATTTTGTTTGTTTGTGCATAAACCCTTTGTGTCTGAAATATATGATCAGTATAACGGAGACTGATATTGGTGTTTTGTACTAAATTAGCTGGGTTAAACGGGGAGCTACTATCTTAGTGGATCAATAAGAACTCAGAATTCACGCCGGACTGCTCGTAATGGTTTATTGGTCTAGTCAGTAAGTCGGTGTTCTAATTGGCGATCGTATCATGTGATACATTAACCTGGGCATAAAGACATAACAATAATCATAATGCATTAATACTAAAATCTCATAAATTATCTTGATTAGTGTAGTAGTATTATATATATAAACTTGGATTAATTATAATTTGGTTATTTATTCTCTGAAGAAGTGACTTGCACTAAGTCACGAAACGTCAGAAAATCTAATTTTTCTACTCGTTGGGATATTACAAATATATTATTTATTTATAGAAACAAAACTGTTCACTTACACATGTACTGTCTTCTAATTTATAAGACAAAAACCGATATGGTATTGATGTTAAAGCTATTTAAAAGGGGGTAACATCATGAAAAAAGATTATCAATATGTATGCTGATAACTTACTTTCGAATCAACACTAAGCATTCGATTCGGTCGATTCGGCCAAGTAGTTAATTCCATTATAGAATCAACATCTTCTCTTGTTATTTGATAATTAATTAGAAATTGAATAGCACTGTCAATATCACCTTAAATATAAACAATTAAACAAACACTTGTTGAAATAAATACACAAGTATTTTCTTTAATAATAATACGAAGAAAACACATGATGATTTAAATGATAAAACTTCGAAAATTATTAGAAGTCTTATATAAAAGAAAATGTAAGCAAAAAGACTAGATTAAAATGTAAAATGAGGACGAAGATTATGTTAATCACTCAACGCAATGAGGTATCTTATTGGTTGGGGCACTCGATTTTCGGCCATTTGTTCTCAGGTTCGAATCCCGATTCGCTTCAATTCGGGCTCACACTTAAGCGCCCGGTAAATGATTTGATATTATTGGTTAACTTTTTACATGGTTCACATTGTAAGCTCTCTTTTAGCTAATTTTACCAGTATTTTTATCAACTGAATTATCAGGTGTACAGATTCGTATACTTAGCTTAAAACCACATTTTAAGCATTAAAGCTAATGACACTGTCCATTTACTCAAACAAAAGTACGTGGATAGGGATTCGATCCTCAAACTTATTGGCTGAAAGCTAGAACCCTTAAAAACTGATCCATCGCTTCACCAACTAATCTATTATCTCCAAAGTTTGCGTCGATGACGCATAAAAGTTCGTTAATTATCAACAGGCTAATTAATTTTGCTTATATCCCATTGAGCTTTATAAAATGGCAATATACTATGTTTTTATAATTTAGTTTGGACAGTAACATGAGGTATTCGTTGAAATGAAAATTTGGGAAAGTACAAGTTTTGAGCAACCTATGAATCATGAGAAAAATATCAGCAATATTAAGTGTGTGAATTTATCTCTAGCTGTTTAGATGATAAAACACAGATAGATAGGTTGAACTTCCACACAATTACTCAAACTCCTCAACTTTTGTTTGAAGATCTATCAAACAGAAAACTTTTCCCCGGTGTACATTAGACAGTAGATGATTATAGCCTTCATAATGATTTTTGAAACCTTAACATTTTACTGAAATGTGTTAGCTTTTCTACAGAATTTAGAAATACACAGCTTTTTAGTGCTATATATATTTCCTAAAAAATTTAAATATCTCTCCAATTGTTTAGAAATGGAAGTTATTTCTTGGAAAATCACGCGCACTTATTATTGGACCGATTTCCTTTCCAAAACATTTCAAATACTAAAAAAATTGTAGGAATGTTACCTTCTTTAAGTGGACGAGTGATAAGTTCAGAGATTGGTGTAGCATAATCTAGCAATAATGTAAGCGGATTTGATGAACCACAATGAGTTGCTAATCGTAAATGTGCAGCTAATTCCGAAGTAGTCCGATTGATACGGCTTTGTGTACTGTTCTTACCAAACCAAGAAGGAAATGAAACACCACCTGGGCCACCAGGTAAAGAGCCACGAAGAGTACGACCAGGTGAAACTGTACTGAACACACCTTGAACAGGTAATAAAGACCATGATCCCGTACGTGATGATCTGATAGTAGATGAAATGATATCTGCCGTGGCGATGTCAGACGCTGCTTGAGACATTAATTGCAAAATCTTTTTATCGTCACTAAAACAAAGTTAACCAATTACATATGAACGAACCGATGGACACTATTAATACAAATATAAACAGTACGAAAATGTGCGATTCACAAACCATACCTTACTTACAATATATACAGCGAACGTAAATAATTTATAAAATAATATTTTATGTGTCTATTAGTTTAATGTAACTCACTACGTACAGTTGTTTTTGAACGATACTATAAATGTGAGGGCTAGTGGTGCTACCTAGACGTCCAAACTGCTAAAGGCTACACTCATACATTTAACACTGACGATACGCCTCAAAATAACAATGTCACAATTCATATTGGTAGGCTGTTACAACAGCTACCCAAGCTTTTCAGTTCTTCGCTATCAATGTATTTGTATCGATTAGAGCTGAATGTGGAACACTAATCTCCTTGAATAATTAAGAATGGAAATTTCTAAAATCGAGAAGCATCAAATAAACTGCTTGAATCTTAAAAATAATGTTTCACTGATGACTCTTCCGCTCAAAACTACAGAGAATACAGAGCCTCTGTCGATTTTAGTAAGAGAGACAAAACGCTGAGGTATCGAAAAGAACCAGTTGAATTATGGTTAGATAAATTGACTTTTTGCGTACAATTACTATTGCAGTAGCTACAAAAACTTGATTCGTAACAGATAACTGATTGAAACTAATATTATAATATTCAATGGGATGGATAGTGTTAAAATTGTTTAAAGTGAAGACTTATTGATCAATTCGTGGCAGTTAATTATATTCTTGTCTACTCACTCGTTAACTAACGAATAACTGGAAGTCATACTAATTTGGTTGAATATCCATCTACATAACGGTATTATTTCACAAAATCGAAAATATGCATACACTGATAGAACAACTTCCTCGGTGATATAAAAACTACCAGAAAAAAAGAACCAGAAAACAAAACCTCGTCCATGAATGTTTTGACAGGGCAAACACAGGAACTTTGGAAATGTTAGTGTAGAAGTCTCCGAGTATGAAAAACTACAACAGTAACGGTACAATAGTTGTGAACAGACGCCATGTATGAAAATCCAAACAGCACTCACGATTCGAAAAATTGAAAGGAATCATCTGTTGTCTGCTTTCCGTAAGAATAACTCTCCTGGCACTTTTATCAAAGTGTTTGGTGAATAGACCTACCACCAAAATGTCAACCCTGGAAACCAAGAAATAAATTATACAGTCGTTGGGGGAGTCCCCAAAGTACCCCTTGTTAAAGTTTTAAGGGGCTTAGAAACGCCAAGAAATATTGATTCAGCCAGGGTTGGATGGAGGTTTCTCGGAAACATCTGGAAAATGCGGAATTACGTGTCACGGTTATAACACGATGTGTAACTATATTGCAACTAGTTTTAGTATGACTCCAGAAATTGCCGGAAACCCAGGGTCGTGTGTAACTCGGTAAATACACTCGATTTTTCTGTACAAAAACTAGCCTTGGATTAAAGCTATGACTCACATTTCACGCTGTCTCTTTAGTACTCCAGTTGATGTGTAAAAGTAGTTGAGGTTGTAGGACGCGTTTGGAATACAGTTGTCTTATCGATAGCAAAAATTATCATCCATGGCGTATGAGAAATATCTTAGAAACTACTACAATGATCGCGGAACCCTTTAGAATCGATTTCACCAACGGACCAACGCTAAAACTCAATAACTTATTATGCAGACCTAAAGACACGACAATGAAAGACAGATCCAATATCACCTACAAAATAAACTGCACAGGTGAAACATTAAATCAGGCAAAATAAGGAGCCCCTTTATTTATGTATACATGGAAATAAATTGACAGTGAGGTAACATGAGATAGGATTGATATTAATCCACTTTAACAACTATCAAAATGAATCCGACCCAGAAAATGTCACAACTCTGGATAATGGGAATTCTAGGAACGACAGAGAATTTCTATAGGCAACACATTCAAATCAAATGGCAATCAATAGATACGTAGGCATATGTCCCGTCTATCGACCATATGGAAGGAGCTAATTAAAAATATGAATGACAGTCAACTGAAGAAGACACTCAACAGGAATGAACAAACAAATGACAATGGAGAAACCTATGAATATAATCATTTAAAAATTACAGCATCTGAATGAACTGACTTAGGCTTTGAGAGAAAAATGAAAAGCCTACTTCTGGATGAAGTAGACGCTAATGATTTTTTCTAAAACGACAATGAAAACTTTTCAATTACATTATCTAGCTCTGATAACAAAATACTACGAAAAGCATCAACCTGAATTGCAAAATATTCTTAATCATTTGAATGTAATCAGTCAATCGGCTAGCGATTCTCTTTCTAAAACCTATTTCTTTGAGATTTAGTTATTGGCGTTGTGAGTTATTTATCAGCCCTCACATAAATCGAATGGTTTATGTGGCGCATATTTATTTAGTGCCTTCATGTACCTATGCTTGTGTGTTTAAATAAATAAATAAATAAACTTTTAAGACATATATGTATACAAAAACAATATTATTAACGATAGTAACAATAATACTTACTGGGTATTATGAACTCTAACATTAAGATAATTTTCCTCAACAAACAAAGGAATTAAATTGTAATCTTGAAAAAATAAATCTAAACTTTCATTGAATGTAGCAACACTGCCTTGAGAACCAGAAATATCTGGTGCAAAAACTTTACGAATCACATCAAATGCATTTAAGTGTAGATCTTTACGTGCACCTAATGCATCCGCTTTTAATCCTTCGGAATCAATTAAACCAGAGCTACACCACATTTGAACATTATTAATTACCTAAAATTACAAAGTATACATGGTTGTTTTTTTAATTATCTATTGTTATCATTGTTGCTAAAAACAAAATACGTTTAGGATTAACACTGAAAGTAAAATTGTGATTAAAAAAGCTTAGGTTATCAGCAACATTCTTATTGTCCAATAAGTACGTCATATATAGCATTTACGCACAGTTTTCCGTTGATTAAATGTATCAGTGCTTCACATTAGAGCTTAATTTCCATCAAATATCTCTGTTCAAGAGTTTGAAGTTATCTCTGACTATGTTGGAGATGCTAGATCCTTAGAAATCACTTGGTAAATGTTTCATTTTTGTGATTTTATCATGCCAATTTGGATTTACTATTTTCGCGCCAAAAGCATCCATTTTTACCTTAAAAACGTTGTGAAAGTCGGAATTTGGAATGAAACTTGTAGATCGAAATCGCATAGCAATATGTAGCACAAACCGGCTAATCGAGAGGAGAAATGAACGAAAGTGCTGTGGATACAACATACAGTTACCGAACATTGACATGTTGCGGATAAACTTACTGAGTAAGGTATATATGCTTGTGTAAACAATGCTATGACCAAAATTCTAATTTATAAAAGATTATTCTTAAAAATGTAGGTGAAATTTAACATAAACACTTTCAACACGCGATGAATTCAAGCTCTTGACAAAGCTAGAAATGTTCATTTACTGAATACTACAAAAATTGCATGCATTGAATAACTCGGACATAGTGAAGCACATCATAAAATTGTTCACACTTTTAGAAAATACATCTTGCCAAATAGATGTTAAGAACGAATAACTAACTTGATGTAAAGTGCTTAAGTGGATATGTTTAAGTTCGTAGAAAAAATAAATACAACTTTGTAGTTGCGCTGGTTAAACTTCCGTATACAGTTATTATTGTGGATAATTTTGACACAATTGCTTTATTATGTATTCTCATCACTCATCTTTCTAATAAGATTAGTAAAATGTTGCAGGATGACATTATTATAAAATGTGTTACAATAACTTGGTCATAATCCACTTTGTACATATAACTGTTTCATCTCATTTTAAAGAAGAGATCCTTGTATCTAAATAAAACCTACTAGAATATGTCTCTTATGGACAACAAGTTATAAAGACTTCAGACTCATTTGAACTACAATTTGTTTCCCACTTATTCTAATGCAACAAAAAATGAAACATTTACAAAGCATAGATCCAAGTACTTGGCTTCAAATCCCATTTTACGTGTAAAGGTTGTTGGTGAAGTACTATTAAATTACCTGAATTGAAGTAGATGAAGCAGGCTTTTAACCTATGAACTAGTGTTTAGATGTCAAATGCTTTACCCAATAAACCACTAGCTCCTAATCTTAATAAGGCTTCTTATCGATAACAAATTATGTACAGATCGTTTAAGTTCATAACATAAAAAATAAGACGATAATCCAAAAAAGGAAGAAATAGCTTAAAGGATTTCTAAACAAAATAACAAAATTTGCTAAAATGATAAAAGTTTCTCTGTATATTTTACCTGTCTAATATCATGATTACTAGAATCGATAATATTTGTTAATACATCCGGAGGTAAATTCACATTTTCTTTGCAAGCAATAGACAATACTGCTGACTTTATTTGTTCAACTCGTGGACGATGAAATCTTAAATCGAGACAATAATTAGCCAGAGAGCGTATCTAATTAAAATAGCAGAATGTAAGAGTAAACATAAAAATAATACCAACTGCTATTATTTAATAAGCTTGTCTGGAAAATTTCCTTAAAATTATAACTGTTAATTCAGCTTACTCAACTTACCCCCATTCCTATCATCAGATAATCTGGTGTAATAGTTATACTACTTAATAATATTCAGTAGTTAATTCCACTTTTATTCATTTTGGGTATATAACATATCGTGTTCTCTATAACTTCTCAGTACTTACATAATATTCAGCGAACTCAACTATAGACGTGACTTATAAACACTTTGGACTGTTATTTTTAGTTTTTTTGGAATCACTGAGTCTTTTTTAAGTGTGACAGTCCTCAAATTTTGAGTGCCCAGTTGCCCTTTCGATTACTGTTGTCGTTGTTGAATTTAGACACAGATAATAACAGTAACTTATGCTATCATATGTCGTTAATATACTTTCGGTAATTATTTCAAGAACCATTTACCATTTTATCTACATCGATCAATCAAACGCCCCAGAGGCTTGTAGCTTATTTGGATATATTTCTGTGAATAATCGGACCGCTTCTCAGACAAAATCTTAGTTTCCGAATTCAGAATATTTGTGCATAATTCTGTCATGTGGTCAAACGCTTAGATAGGCTTATCAATAATTTTAAACAACAAGAAGTAAATTTGATAATAACTTAAGTCTAAATTTGAACGAATGATTAGTTTCACAACATATTTGGACACCGAGTATATAGGTGAAGCTTCAAAAAACGTAAATAAATATTTGTAAAAATCTCAGTAATTGAAATTATAAGAGATAACTCTAGGTTTTCGCTCACCAGTCTAGTTAGAGCATCTCCAAGGGAGAAATTAAAAATCAAAATTATAAAAAATAAATAAGCCGCAAAAACAATCGTGTATAAAAAGATTATCCAATCATGTTATGATATGGAGTTTGGAAGTTGTTGGTATGATATAGGTTTGAAATATGGTAAATGAGTTGTAACAGAGGGAATTAAGTGTGTGTGGGGGGAATCTAACTTGGAAAATAAAAATTTTAGAGCTTCGACAAAGAAATACCGAAGCTATTGAAAAGTTTTAATTTTTATAGCTAACAAACCTTAATCAAGCAAAAACTTGTATATGCGCATTTTCAATAATGTAGTGTGCTAAAAACTTCAAAAATATGTTAAAGATACCTTCAGAGTTGAAAATGCTGGGAGGAAAGTCAAATGTGAAAATCTCCCCGAGATCATTTAAAGATACATGTTAACAATCGATACAATTTAAGTATTAATCCAGCTTTTGAACAAAATGAACAATAAGACAAAATACTCTAATATTATTATTGAAGCGCTAAATTTACAGTTGAATCGTGACCTTTTTTATAAATTTCTCAGCTGTTAGTAAACAATATTTGTTTATATATACATGTATAGAGCATGTCATTTTATTTCACACAGAAAAGAAAATGAAAACAAAACAAATTACTGACTTTTATAGCCTGACGATCATTGCACATGCAAATAATAGGTATTTGAGTAATTTTAATCATGTTGATAAGTTCTTGCATTCCTCCGCGATCTTCATTACCAGCCATACCATCTACTTCGTCCATAATTAAAACGTGACGACCAGAATTTAATGTTGATGCTATGAAAAAAAAATATTTAGTCCATACCATCAAATTACAAGTCATTGAACTCCGATGATAAAAAAGTAGAAGTGTTTCATGTTTACTATAAGATCTGAAAGTCCTAAATTTAGATTGTTTCGTTTAGTTATTTATTTAAACAAAGAAACAAGAGATAGTGGGGAGAGTTTGCTCTTCCTCTCGAAATGCTGTCATATGGCTACGCATATATAGCCACTGCCAGGCAAGCTCTACTCACTGCGTTCTCGTCGCAGGTGTGGTGTTAACGAAATCGAGCGGACGTAAAGCAAATGTTCGGCGCTGAAACCAGGTTGGTGGATAAAGACCATTCACTTATAGGAGTTGAAAAACTGGTTTTCGAACAAATGGTGAACATGGCTTTCAGGGCCCTGAGGAAACAAATCGCGTATGAACCTACTGTTGGTCACGGACTACCATGGGATTGTATCTCCTTACGTTGCTCCACAGCCTTGTGGATTAGACCCTTATGTCAAAGGATTCAGGTGTGACCCTCTATGAAAACCACTTAGGCACACGGGCAGTACCACAACCTACACACAAACCAGGTGACTTGTGGGGCACATATGTATTAAATGCCCATTTGTACCAATATTTATGTGTTCAAATAAATCAATAAAGGATAGGAATCCCATGGATCCACAATTATCAAATCATCATTCAAAACAAAGGAGGGAATCACGATGAATGTTATCCATTGTTATGCACCCATTAGTGATAACAATGAAGACGATAAAGACCAGTTTTACTAGACGCAGGGTTGGGATGGACAACACCGGATATCAAGATATCATGGGATGGTATGAACTGACTGGGAGAAAAGAACGAGAATGGTGAGAGATTTGCAAACTTATGTGCATTCAGCAAAAACGGTTATATACGGCACAATATTACCACACAAACACATACACAAAGCTACATGTGTCTCACAAGATCGCACTACAGAGAATCAGATCCATCATATTTGCACCACTGAAAATTTCGCAAGGTCAATGGAAAACGTGAAAACCAGGAGAGGAGCTCACATAGCTAGCTTCAGATCACCGCCGACCGGTGGCTACCAAGATGAAACTGAATGTAAAAAAGCACTAGACAACTGAAAAACAGCATTACAAGGGTCCAACACAGCCGTCCCTCGACATACTGACAAACTCAACGATCTTAAGATAACTCTCAATAACAGATCCCAAGCATTACAAGATCTACTGAAAGAACAAAACACCACTATGTAGGACAACTGGGAGGGAATCAAAGAAGCACTAACTTCAATGCGTCAGAAGATCCTGGGACACAAGAATTATCACCACAAGGAATGGATCCCTATCGAATTACTTGACTAGATTCGGTAAAGGAAGAACAAGAAGACAGCAATCAACAACAGTCGAACAAGAACAGAGAAAGTCGACGCACAGACCGAATACACCAAAGCCAACAAGCAAGTGAAGAGAAGCATTAGAGCCGACAAGCAGAAATACGTGAAAGACTTAACAACGACAGCGGAAAAATCTGTAAGAGAAGGAAATGTGTAACAACCATATCACACAACGAATAAACTGTCTGGGAAATACAGGAAACCAGAGAGACCGGTCAAGAATAAAAAATACAAGACAATCACCGAGATTCAAGAACTGAGCAACAGATGGGTGGAATAATTCGAGGAACTCTTGAATAGACCTGCTCCATTAAATCCACCGGACATCGAAGCACCATCCACAGACATTCCTATACGTGTCACTCCACCAACGATCAAACAAGTCAGGATGACCATCAAATAAATCAAGAGTGTGAAAGCAGATGGACCTGATAATATAGCATTCGAAGCACTAAAGTTAGACATAGAAATAACTGCAAACACGCTCCACGTTTTATTCGGGAAGATTTGGGAGAAAGAACAAGTGCCGACATACTGGAAATAAGGATACCTCATCGATATAACAAAGAAAGGGGATCTGAACAAATGTGGGAACTACAGAAGAATCACACCAATAGCGGTAACAGTAAACGTTTTTAACAAAGGGTTGCTGAACTGAATGAAAGTATCAGTAGACACCCAACTCCGAGATCAACAGGCCAACAGGATTCTGTTACGATCAATCGTGAACAAACCAAACTGCGTCACTATGGATCATTGTTGAACAATCAGTGGGATGGAACCCATCAGCACACATCAACTTCCTTGACTATGAGAAAGTATTTGACAGAGTGAAAAGGAGAACCTCATGGAAACTTCATCGACACTATGGTGTGAAAATCGTCAGCATCATCCAGAGTTAACACGATGAACTAAACTACAAAGTCGTGCATGGAAGACAGCTGACAGATGCATTCCAAGTGAGTACTGGAGTCAAACACGTTTGCCTACTCTCCCCCTTACTCTTTCTTCAAGTGCTTGACTGGATCATGAACACCCTCACATCTTGAGAAAGCACGGAATACAATAAACAGTTTGCATGCAACTAGACGATTTGGACTTTGCAGATGACCTGGCACTTCTATCCTATACGCACGGACAAATGCAGGTCGAGACAGCTAGTGTAGTAGCAGCCTCAACATAAACAAGGGAAAGAGCGAAATCCTCAAATACAACACAGAGAACACCAACCCAATCATAATTGATGGAGAAGCTCTGGAAGAGGTCGAAAATTTCACGTATCTGGAAAGCACCATCTATGAACAAGGAGGATCGGATACAGACACAAAGGCAAGGATAGGCAAAGCAAGAGCAGGATTCCTATAATTGAAGGACATATGGGACTCAAAACAACTGTTAGCCAGTATCAAGTTAAGAATCTTTAATACGGACGTCAAGATAGTTTTACTGTATGGAACTGAAACTTGGAGAACTACCATAACCATCATCAAAAAAGTAAAAGTATTTATAAACAATTGTCCACGCAAGATACTCATCGTCCGCTGGCCGGATACCATCAGCAACAGCCTATCGGGGAGATAACAAACCAGGTTCCAGCTGAAGGAGGAAATTAGGAAAAGAAATTGAAATTGGATAGGACGTACACTGAGAAAATCACCAAACTGCATCACTAGACAAGCGCTAACTTGGAATTCTGAAAGAAAATAGAAAAGAAGGAGGCCAAAGATCTTAGAAGCATACATGAAAAGAATGAATAGCAACTGTAGACAACTAGAAAAGATTCGATGGGGAATCCTGGTGGGCGGCCTATGTCCCTCCACGAGGGGTTACAGATGTAAGTAGGTAAGTAAATCATTAGTATTTAGATCTTAGTCATGGAAGCACATACTCGAACACATTCCGTTTACTATGATTTTGAATGCGAACACTGTATACATAAACATTTAGGAATACTAAGATTTTTATAAACTATCACCGCAAAATGCTGGTAAATGAAATAGGAGAAAATCATCATACACATACCTTGACCAAACGCCATATGTGACAAATTTCGTAAACCCAAAGACTGTCCTATTTCTTCACTTAAACACCGCTTGGATCGACAATCGGATGCATTAAATTCGCAATAAGTATAACCAAGTTCTTTGCATACTAAAATAGCGGTTGATGTTTTGCCAATCCCTGGAGGTCCCGAAAGAAGTGCTGCGCGCGCCCACTTCCCATCATCACTAGATGACGGGCCCCATGGAGGGGCACTTGAGTAAGCCTTCGCTTTTAAACCTGAAAAGTGACAAGCATACAAAATTTTAAAACTAAGGTCAAATATAAGAACAGTTGGTTCCCAGTTTTACCACGTCATCGGAATGGCAGAAACACATTATTTCATGGAATTTTCACAATGACAGATAACTAAAAAAGGTTCTACTTAACGATACAAAAATGACTGCAATCTGCTTCACAAGTACACCAAACGAGTTTCAAATCATCAGACAATACGAATAGTACTAAAAGGCTATAAGCCTGAAATAAAACAGCTAATGAATCTAGTATGAAAATATAAAATTCGTAACGAGCAGTATATATGTCACTTGATATTTCGCGTTTCATGAACACAGAAAGACAAAGTTAGAGTCTGGAAAAAAGGATCTACAGACCTAATGTTACAACTTTCGTTTTGCAACACCAGGTAACGTAAAATAACATTGAGAAATGATATTCATTACATTAATGATCGAATTACTTGTTTGAAGGAGAATTAATAACTATAAAGGTTATAAGATAACTGATACACCACAAACCTGCTGAAAAACTCGAGTGCCAGGAAGATAGCCAATTTAAAAGTCGATTGGCTGGACTTTGAGCACCGTTTTGACCAATCAGTGAGCGAACAGACGTTGGTTTATACTTATCAACCCATAATTCAGACAACTTCGAACTCATCTCCTTGGACAGGGAATCTTGCTTATCGATGACATTAGTAGGAGTTTTGGATAAACCACTGCTATGACTTCGATCAGTTTTATTATTGAATGTTGAATTATTAGTTAAAACAGGACGTGCAGTAAGAGGAAGTTCACTACATGAGGACATAACAGATTTTCCTGCACATTTATTCGGAGATTCATGTTTACGAGATTTAGGAGCATTATCCGGTGATTTGGTAGATTGATTTTTCTTAGGGGATTTTTTAGGACTTTTTAAATTTTGTTTACTATCGTTTGCATCTACAGGCTCCAATTTCTTGGAAGATTCTGAGCTGGATACATTCGATTTATGATTTACAAGAGGAATATTACTGGACTTTTCTATCATTTCAAAGAGATGTTCTTCGGTAATCTGCTTAATTTTCAAATTGTTAGCCTTCACGAATTTAAAAAAGAACACAGTTGTGAGTAGAAAAACAATTTCAAATCAAACACAGAAATGAATAATACTATGTGCTGTTTAACAGAAATAATTTTTCCCACTGAAATATTTCAAGTGTCGTATATGCTTTTACTAATAGTGTTCTTCTCAACAATAACGAAGCCCAGAATCGAAAAAGTACGATAGCTCTACTTATGACTGGATAAAATGTCTTCCTAAAGAGTTATAACGAATGACCGAATGACTTGTATAAGGTGATGACTACAGTAAAACAAACAAATAATAACATAATTAGAATAGACACAATATCAGTACTTCTTCTGGTCCTTCATTGTCTAAAATACAGAATTCAAAAGGAACTCATTTAAGTAAAGGTAATTGATTTTTATTTGTTACATCACTACTCTAATATTCGATTTGTTTATAACTGGTGTACAATCATAACTGAGCCAAAAAGTATAAATTAGTAATAACACTACAATTGATTTGATAAAATATATAAAGCACTGAGTCAAATTGATAGTTACGCTAATGTTATTATTTAGTAATTAGGTACGGGTGATTTTTCAAGATGGTTATAACCTATTGTGTCAGAACTTAAAGTAATCATAAACTCTTAAGACGACTGTATCGTTCGAATTCATGACAATCAAATATTTTTAAATACTAGACAACAACTCTTAGGTGAGTAAAATAAAAATTAATGAAGCCATTTAAACAGTTTAACTATGAGTTCTACGTTGATCATAATTGATAAATAAACTTTACTTTCTAAGTACCAGATGCAATAAACATCGATGAATGATAATAATCATTTCAGTTGTTAATTAATCTGTCAGTGAACACAATACTAGACTAGGCTTTTATATGTAGTGGTTTGTAGATTAGTAGTATTCATGAATAATTGAAATTCAAGGGGTATTGGATCTTTCTCCCATTTATCATGTATTATTGGCGGTACTTATCAATAAACATCTGCTTAAATGCACAAAAACAACTGGCCAACACGAACAATAAATACTGTGAGACAAAATGAATTTAATTTATTTTGTATAAATCAAATCTTTCATATCCGAATCAATTTTATAAATGCTTTATATGTAATGTATTTGAATCGATTGAGTATATTGGTGAAGAAAAAAGCTACAATTATTTTCCCCGATTATATAAGCCCAATTTACACAGGAATAAGCGAGAGAGAGAGAGATCATTAGGAACAAGTACAGATTATTTATAGCAAGATAGAGAAAATAATAAAGTTAATACTCATTACAAAAATCAACAGTGGAGTGATACATTACATAATGAAGACAACTGTAATGATAATACTCAGAAGTGGTATGAAAATTTCAAAATGAAGTATTCATTGGATTTGATAAAGTGATGGCAAATTAATCAATCTTTTGAATGATGAATAGATCTTCCTGAATTATATATGATAATTAAACTAAGGACATAAGAAATCGATGCCGTGCTGGTTTCTAGATGACGACGTTTATTCGAGTATGGGTCAGTTTATTTAAACGGAAATTTGATAAATACTTTTTTTCCAACGAGGTGACGAGTCATCTTTTTGATTATATGTATTTTTTTAACAGACTTTATCAGATGAACTTTGACACTTTTCCTTTTCAAGTGAATGATAAAAACATAGTTTGCTTGCTCTTAAAACGAAAACATTCTGACAAAATTTCTTTGATATGAAATTGAACAGTAAGGATGATAATATCAATTGAATCAGGGAAGTGTTTTGGTAAATTGTATAATTGTAGAAAATGATTATAATTATTATCGATAGATTAAAGCACTTTATACATTTTTTTAATACAAAATCACATTTGTAAGACAGTTTTTCCTAATATAATTAGTTCATATGTGAAAAATTTAGAATAGATGGAAGTAAAGTAAACACACTTTATCGAACAAGGTTTATTTTTTTAACTTTCAAAACGATTATTTAGGGGGACAACTTGGTCAAGATAGCTACATGTTGGACCCATGTGGTTGATCACAGCAATAGAAATCTCCACATCCCAACAGTTCATAAGATAAAAGACCCTATTTTGGAGCCGGGGAAAAGTTACAAACATATTCGAGTATTATGTTGACCTCGAAACTCTTAAATCCTTACACTTGTTTTTGATTATCATTTTCACGTAATTTATTAACAAAGACTGAAAATTAATCTGCCGTAATGATTCATAAAAAGGACTCGCATTGCTTCGAATTCAGTGTTTGAATGTCCTTGTTGCACATCTGGGTTGTCTGTGATGAGTACTGTAGAAGTGTTTGAGTGTGGTGAAAAAAATTAATAAGATTTAAAAAAGGGTTTTAAACACGCTACTTTTCATCTCCATTGAAGTCGCACGTCTATAATTGCACAAAACTTGGTGGGAATATAATAAAGGGAAAGACAGATAGATACAGAAGGCATAAACTATAATTTAGCATTTACTTTTACTTTAGCGTCTCAAAACCTCTCTTGAAACACAGAAGTTCCAAGTTACCTGCAAGGCTACTAACAGCCCCAAGCCCGGGAAAAGAGAGAGGGTTGGATGTAAGGTGATAAACTCTTTTTCGTAAAAAGGAATCAAGTTACAGAATCTGTAGACACAAAAAGTGAATTCAACTCTGTTCCAGGAAGAGAAGAGTCTTTATGGATAAGACATGTGACAGCGCATGGTGAAAGCCGTCCTTGGAATCAAAGAGGTCGGACAACCAAGGAAAAAATAAACATTGGGACGTGGAATATCTGAACAAAGTGTGAGACTGAGAGATTCCTTTAAACAACCACATTAATGAGAAGATACAATTTGGTCCTGCTTAAAATAAGTGGAAGCCCTCTTCTCATATGCATAGGCTATAGAAATCAGTAATTATCATACTATTCAATCTTTCTCTAATGTTAAAATTTAACAAGCAGTTGACCTAATTACATATTTGTACCTCAATGTAGACTAACTAAACGGTATACTTGAGATATAAAATTTTACAGTTTAAAAGTACTATTACTTTCTACTTATAAGTAGCTGAGTTAAGATTATACTACAATAGCTGGAAACAAGTAGCTTAGCTGGTGAAAAAATAAAAAAATTTAAGGTGGGAATTAGCAAATATTAGTTTTTTGCTCTTAATAAATAAACAATTATTATTATTATTAAAGGCTTTATTCAATATTATATTTTGGTACAATATAGATTTAAAACCCACCTTCTCGATTTTGGCTGCACCAGGTTCACGTCCGACAACGAGATAATCAGTCTTTTTACCCAATGTTTTTAAAACTTTTCCACCACAATTCTGAATAAGATTTGCGGCGTCCTCTCGTTCAATACACTCTAGTATTCCAGTGATGAGAAAGTTTAGTCCCTTTAAACAATCCGGAGTTCCCTGGAACGGAAATTGTATAACAATAATTTCATTTCGCTAATGTCGTCTCATAGAGACATTTCCACTATTGTACTTGATAAACTCAAACAAACCATCAAAAATCACGAAAAAACTGAAAGACATCTAATTTTAAAAAGGATTGCATAAACTACCTGTCTGGTCATAAGAATCCCTAGTTTTCTGCATAAATACCACCACTACCACGTTTCTTGTCCATACTGTATAAATCTATATACGATCACCTTTAGAGTGCAAAGTAACCACTAATTCCTGATGGCTTAGGGGTTAAAGCACTTAGCTTTCAGACAGTAAGTCATAAATCTAAACTAAGATCCCGGTTACTTCTGTTTGGAAACCCAGACACTATTAACAGCTTTATACAAAGCTTGAGACATGCATCTAAGTAAATAAATCTGTACTTAATTAATAAATATCACACTACAGAAAGTGATTAGTTATAACTTACCAATTATGCATATGGACAGCTTTTAACATCTTAATGTGACATTCCTCAACGAGGTACGTAAACTGGAGTAGAAATGAAAAGCTTTGCTGTACATGACAGCCAGATTTTCTTTCAACCGCTATATCGGTTAGGATTTGAAATCGTACTATGCTTTTTTCACCTAATACCTAATAATTGTGTTTAGCCCAAACCCATATAATATTAAGTGAATAACTTAAAAGATAGTTAAATTAAAATATGCTACAAATTCAGTGAAATCGGAATCTTTTGGTTACGGCTAGCAGGAGAGAAATCGTCAAAACTGAGTTGTTTGTTGCAGTGAACTCAAAATAACATGACTGATAAGTCTCAAAAATTCAACTAATCTTATGCCGTACGTTTTGTTTCTGACTGTTTTCTTAGACTTTGTCTAGTGAATCTAGGGTACGTTTTATCATTATTTTCATTTTTATGGCTTTCCTTCTTTAATTACTTCCTCCAATGTTAGTAAAGGGTTTTCAGCTAACATTGATAATTTTATCGAGCTCTACGTTGCTCATGTCTGCTTCGTCAAAGACTGAATCAGTCCAACTAATCATACTAACATGATTGTATAGTGTTATAACACTAGGACTTTTAAGGCATATATTACTATCTCATGGACCCAACAAAACCCACCTTATACTTCTATGAACTGCCTCATCCATGTAAGGTTGATCTCTCAATGTCATCTGACCACTAGTGTACAGCACATTTATTTTCTAACTGACCTTAAGACAAATAACTAGTTACACCAGCTAAAGAAATTAATTAATTTTACCAATTATTGACTGAAAATATAGTCGCCACATGGAAAATTCTACACCAAAGATATTTGATTGTGAGCTAAAATAAACTGTATCATATTTTAGACCGTTTACATCAAATTAAGAGGACTAACCTTAGGAATTTCTCTTGATCCAAGACTGCGAGGACCATCGCGAGCTTTGTAGGCCCAAAAATGCTTTCGATCTTTTACAGCAGTATCAGTGCTATCATTAAGAGATTCATTAACCTATTTTACGTTATTGAAAATCAAAAGACATTTGAATAGTAAGACGTTGTTAGCGTTTACACAATATAAGTATTTCATGAGTGACAGAAACTAAAAATAGATTACATATACGGAGAAAAAGCTAAATGCCTGAAACAAATGGAAATCCATATGAGATATCTATCACAGAATTAATCTTAGCCCGTCAAACTGGTACGTGAACCGAAAAGACAATATTCCTTTTATATTCGTCTGTGACTACAGCACTTTGTGTCTAATCATAGACATGTGAGTGAATTTAATGAACTCGATAATAAAAAACAGCCTCGAATTTCCCACAATAACGTGCTTAATCACGCTTCGACCTAAATAGCCGACAATAGAGATGTAAAAGGTGATAGTGTTAATGTGTACCCTAATAAAACAGAATAAATGTTATAGAGTAGATGATGATGAAAAAAAGGAACAGCTGGATCTACGAACAATTTACTCAAAGCATATCCGGTGATAAACACCTACAACAAACACAAGTACCTTACAAATATAGCTTTTCATTGACAAACACTATTATTGACTGACCAGAACAAGTTGAGATTGAGTGCCTTTAACTAATAAGAGAGCACTTCACAAAGGGTAACATGCTAGAGTGAAGCTATTACTTGAAGGTCAAGGTGATCAGATTCCGACTAAGTTGGAACTACGCTCTACATAGTTCTGTCTGAGCACCCATGTAATCTGAATGGCTCTAAAATGAAGCGTAGCTCACAGCCAAGTATACAAAACTATTCTTCGCAGGTAAGACACATATTTACGATAGCATGCTGAAGAGGACCTGAAAAAAGGGTGATTGGATTTTTCTATGTAGTTATTGTTGTTTAAATTTAATAATCGTGATAATTAACCTTATATCTTTTCCATATAAGTAACTAGAACGGAACTTTCAAAGACAATGTATAAGAAGTTACTTGTTTCACAAGTAAAAACTAGAAAAGAGACTAGGGATGCTTCATAAAAACATTAAATTCAGTAACAAAAGTATGACTAACCATGGATGACGTTTGATTACTAGTTGTCTTCACACCCTCCGAGATAACATTGATTTGGGGTGAGCTTTTATAACTTTCTCTGGTCCCCAGAGGTGTTTTCGGAGATAATATTGGTGTATCCGGGATGATCTCCATCGGTGAATGAGGTGGTGTGCTGACGACAGCAGAAGGCTTAAAACAGATGGTTTAACAAATGTAAGCAAACAAATAATTCAATAAAATTTATTGGACCATCCGAAATGGGTGTTGTCATGGATTGAAGGTATATACATTATAATCGCGTCAAGCATTTTGAGTGACTAGTTAATAACAATAATAGTAATAATAACGTGAATCGTTTGATTGTTAATCGAAGCAAGAAAAGTATTTTCCATAAATAACGACATTTCACCATATTTGTGTGTGGGATGTGGTACTGCCCGGGTGCCCAGACCGAAGCAGGTGGTTTTCCCAGGGGGTCACACCCAGAGCCTTTGACCTAAAGGTCTGACCCACAAGGCAGTGGAGCATCGTGAGAAGATGCAGTCCCATGGTAGCCGGTGACCGACGATTGGTTAAAACGCCATTTGTCCCCGCAGGATACTGGAGCTCACGTGCACCATTGGTTTGGGATCCGGTTAAAGCGCCGGACATTCGCTTCTCGTCCTCTCATTTTCGTAAACAACATCCCCGCCACGAGAAGTCAATGAGTGGGAATTATATATATATATATATATATATATATATATATATATATATATATATATATATATATATATATATATATGGTGCCCTCTTGTACCAATATTTATGTGTTTGAATAAATAAATAAATAAAAAGTGACTAGTTAGCCAGTCAGTTGTAGTAACAGATGAAAAGATGCAAAAACAACAGAGCATGGAGTAAATATTTGTTATTTAGAAACTTGGTGCCAAAATATAGCTGAGAAAGAATGCAAAAATGTAAAAACAATATGCAAGAAGATAATAAAACGTTCATGATGTAATGCAGCTTTACAAATGTGGTGTTGTAAGCTGTTTTAAGTTACTTATGACAGGGTACAATTACTCTGAAGACAAAGGCCAGGAAGTAACCACGCAATAGGTACAGAAATATTTAGCAACCTTGAATAGTAGGAATCTCGCACTCGAAACAGTGTTGGAGCGAATATAAGCAATTCTTGAAATCGCACTGCGAAATTTCAACCATTTACCCGTTTCAAGATACGGTTAGGAATTAATGTTGAAGATTAAGACTGGGATTTAGGGTTAGGGGGCAGGGTAATAGACCAGGGTTAGTATTTTGACCAGAAAACCAAAACCTACTTTAATGCAATGAACTTATAAGCCCATACAGATGAAAAGACTTCACGCAAGAGTTTAAAAGATGCAATTTGAAACCCAATCGGTTCATCCCACAGTTTAATAATGTCAAATCAACTGGTTGATGATTATAAAAAAGCAGAAAATGGGCACAAAATATACAAATAAACCTTCATAAACATGTTTGGATAGACTGAGTATTTTTACCATTACCTATTGAACGGCGATGAAGAATAATATCGTACAATTTCCCAAACAAAGGTTTTTAGTGATGGGTTGATAAGGACCAAAGAATTCGTATTATTTAAAAGCTCACCTTAGCATTTGATTTTGTTCCAGATGGTCCGAAGAAATCATCAACGGAAACTACATTCTTCTTGGGTTTCACAGACTGTGAGAAGTACGCTTCAATAGTATTTGCTTTCTTGCCACGGGAGATTTTGCATAACTCTTGCTGTCGTCGTAAAGCGTCGATTATTGACTGCTGAGAGTTATCACGGCAGGATATTTGATTATCTAAGGGCTTTATAAGAAAGTAATTGATTACCATCGACGTCTGTGCATTTCCTTTTCTTCTCAGAATATCGTTTCGTACTTTGTTTTACTGTCGGCTTTTCCTTGGTCTTGATTTCATCATCTTTTTTGAATATAAACGGACTGAACATTACCTGAATCCGACTCACTGAAAACCACCCGTCGCTTCATTGACGTAACGCTCTGTACGTAACAACCTCAATTAGATTTCCGATGTTAAATGAACCAAACGCCAAACTTTACTGTAAAATGATTCAAATGGTTCAAATGGTTGTGGACAGAATCGAACGAGCTGTCGCTTAACAGGCTTCCGTGTCTAGTAGCAGAGGATCACCAATACCTCTAGGCAGGAACCTAGGTATACTTACGATAATAGAGGGAGAAAAAAAATTGATAAATCATGATATGTTATCCTTAGTCTTCAAGAATAGGTCAAGGTTCATCTTAAACGATTCCTGCGAAGTCGCTTGGACTAGTTCAGTCGGCAGCGAATTCCAGCATTTGACAACTCTTAAGGAGTAGAAGTTGTGTCTACAGTCCGTTCTGCCTTGTTGTGACTCCAATTTCTGGGTGTTACCCCATAGGTTGACAATGAGATTAGGCTTAAGTAAGTGTTTAAGAGGATGTCCAGAAGTGTTAAGGATACTGTAAGCCATCAGAAGGTCACCTCTAAGACGCCTGTACTCTAATGGGTAAAGGTTAAGTGATTGGAGGCGCTCTTCACAAGGTTTAAATTTGAGTCTCCGAACTGACTTCGTGGCTCGCCGTTGGAGTGTCCTTATCCTCTTGGAGTGAGGAAGGAAAGACTATGTTTCCGTACTCTAAGTGGGGACGGATAAAACTGCTGAAGATTATATGGAGATTTCATCCGTTAAACTGACCAAAAATGAGCTTCAATGTTACCAGTGCGAGGTTTGCTCGAAAGGCATTCTTGTCACAGTTATCGTAAGACTTGAAATCGTAGGGCACCAGGACTTCTAAATCTTTTTTCGACTCGGGATACTACTAGAGAGGAGTTTCCTAAGTTGTAACTATAGTCTGCGACATGTCGCAGATGGACAACTTCACACTGTGAAGTGTTAAAGGCAAGTCCGTTATTGTCTGCCCAACTTTGAAGTGGAGTCAGATCCTCCTGAAGTGCGTGTATATCGTCTTGGTTGTGTACCCCTCTCCGAGGTTCACGTCGCCAGCAAAACGTAATAAGTCTGACGTTACCTGTCGAGGAAGATCATTTATATAAATCAAGAAGAGAAGAGGTCCTGGTACGGAGCCCTGGGGGACTCCACTAGGACATTCCACAGCCTGAAAGAAAGTGAAATTAACACTGACTTTAAAATGTCAATTTTTAGATATGAAATAAGCCAATCTACTTAAGGTGACTTGATACGTAATTCTTTGGGCTTTTGAGAAGTCAAGGTAGATTACTCCAACCTACTTGCGATCGAGGATGGTTGTCCATCTGTCCACCACAGTCAATAGGTTGGTTGTACAAGAATGACTCTCCATGAAACTGGGATGTTGGCGTGGAAAGAAGTTTAATGATAATTAATAGTCATGTATACCAGGGATTTCATAATTTTTGACGGTTTAGAGAGAGGTGCCATCGGTCGGTAGCTCGAAGGTTCTCTGCGCCGAACTCATTTAAACATTAGTGTAATGTGAGCCAGCTTCCAGATTTCCGATAATGTGTCTCGGCTTAGCGAGTGTGAGAACATCGCGCTAAGCGGCGTTCCCAGGACTGAAGTTGCCTCCTTAAGTAAACCAGAATGAACCATATCTGAACCAGGATGCATCTTTTTAGATGCTGCATATTCCGATACGTCAAGTCAGCGCTCAGGTTCATTTTCGCAAGTCCTGTGCAGTTGTAGATGAAAGTTTCATCATCAAAGTTAGTCAAGGGTCAGTTGAAATGTCAGAGTGTACTATCCAGCCAGAAGATTAGCGGCGTCACCGTCGTTGTTGGTCGAGCCACTAGTATCTAGCAGTTCGAAAACTCCAGTTTTGGCTTGTCGTAGAGAGGCTCCATAACGGAATCGGCTTTTCGGATTGGAGACAAATTTATTCATTAGCTTTACCACTGTATTTGCTAGCGGTTTTAATTACCAAAAAAACATATTTAAGAACATTTGTACTCTAGCCTTTACTTATTCCACTCGTCCTTGGTCATCAATCATGAAGATAACGAACATAGTGCTAGTGTTGACCAGCCAATTATTCTATGTTAATTTCTTTGTGTTACAGTATGGTCACAGGTCGTTGGTATAGTCCTACCTGGTTATATGGTACTTGCTAGGTTACGGTAGCCCCAATAACCCAAAACAATCATATTCCTTTATATTCAAAGCAACTTCATCTTGTAGTAATTGCCAATATTTTAATGATTGTTCATGATCAGTGGCAAGAATACCAACATTGGACATTTCCAAAAGCCTGGTACCATATTGTAGCACAAAGAAACTGGTATAGTGTAATCGTTTAGTCTACACTAACTGGTCACAAAGGTATTGGGTAAAGACGTAAATGAGTAAAAGTACCTGGTAATGGACAGAGATGATAAGGTATCAGATAGCACAGGCAGGTTAATGCTCATGAAAAATAATATTAATGGATGAAGTGCGAGACATAGTCCAGGTATGTTAATAAATCCTTGTTGCTCTGAGGACACGATAAATATAGAATTCACTCGAGATCGTAGAGAGTGATTTTCTGGGCCTACCAACTCGGCAAACCTTATATACGTAGGCTACCTGTCCATTCACGTAAAGCTTACACAGACAAACAGGAAGAATCTCATGCGTTTCAAATTGAAAACATAAACTGCTTATACATGAACGCCGCGAGTCTACCAAACAAAATTGATACGCTACGTGAACTTAGCAATGCTACTAATACTCATCTGATAGGAATATATTAATCTTGGATGTCTTCTCGGTTCTATGACCAGTGGTCAGCAATACCTGCGATGTCTTTGTTTCGCAACGACAGAAAAATAGGAATTGGGGGTGGATTAGCCGTATACAAACGATCTTGATTGGAGGTACACCAAGTTCATAACCTCCAGTCTAACAATCTTGAGGAATCCATATGGTGCTCTGTAGGATTGTCTACTACTTCGAGGTGCCTAGTGGGAGTCATATATAGGAAGCCCACTGCCGAAATCGAGTAAGACAGTCGTATACTGGAAGTACTATCCCGCTCTACGCGTCTCGGATTCACTCATATCCTGATTCTAGGGGAATTAAATATCCCTAGAGTTAATTTCGCGGAACATACATATATTGAAGGTGAAAACTCAACTGAAGCTCGATTCTTCAAACTCACTGAAGATTTGGGATTATACGAAAATGTGAAGTCGGCAACTCATTGGAGAAACAGTCAGACACCGTCCCGCTTAGACTGCGTATTTACAAACGAAGAATTTCTAGTTGACAACCTCTCAATCCTGGCTCCCCTGGGGAAAAGCGATCACGTCGTTATAGCCTTCAGTTTTGTAGGCAGATGTGAGATAAGATATCCCACTAACAACGTGCGCTGGAATTTCATACTGTAGAATGTGTCAGCTCTACAGGACTATCTACAACAGGTGGATTGATATATTCACCCTCAACTCGATGTGGATACTCATTGGGACTTCTTGTTGCACACGATCGTATGTGCTACAAAGCAGTCAGTTCCTCGAACGGTCCCCAAAAGTTGCAAGCAACCTACAATCATCAAGAACCACACTCTTCGCCTGCTAAGCCGCAAAAGTCACTGTTGGGCAGAATACAAACGAACTGACAACAATGGAGGGTGCAGGCTGTACAAACATATAAGGAACATATGCACGAAGGCTATAAGAGAAGACAGGCTTCAGTACCAGGCAAAGCTTATGGATAAATTTGTCTCCAATCCGAAAAGCTAATTCCGTTATGCAGCCTCTCTTCGTCAAGCACAAAATGGAGTTTCCCAACTGCTAGGTTTTAACGGCCCGACCAATAACGACGGCGACGCCGCAAACCTTTGGGCTGAACAATACTCTTTGACATTTCATCCGACCCACATCAACTATACTGATGACAGCTCCATTTGCAACTGCACAGGACTTTTCGTAGTGACCTGAGAGCTGACTGCGTGTTCCGGAAACTGCAGCACATAAGAAAAGACATTTCTCCTGGCCCAGATATGATCCACTGTGCTATTATGGGGGAAGCAGCCTCAGTCCTGGCAACGCCGCTTAGCGTGATGTTTCTACACTCACCAAGCCGGGGCAAACTATCACACCGATTTCCAAAGGAAGTCAACGCAGCGAACCTTCATAAGCTTTTTATAGGGTTAACAATATATGTCATATCAATAATCTGAAACGATTGGGTATCAGACCACCTCTAATCGATTGGTTCACTTCATACTTGAAAAATCGACATTTTAAAGTCAGTGTTAACTCCACTTTCTTTCAGGCTGTGGAATGTCCTAGTGGAGTCCCCCAGGGCTCCGTACCAGGACCTCTTCTCTTCTTGATTTATATAAATGATCTTCCTCGACAGGTAACGTCAGACTTATTACGTTTTGCTGGCGACGTGAACCTCGGAGAGGGATACACAACCAAGACGATATACACGCACTTCAGGAGGATCTGACTCCACTTCAAAGTTGGGCAGACAATAACGGACTTGCCTTTAACACTTCACAGTGTGAAGTTGTCCATCTGCGACATGTCGCAGACTATAGTTACAACTTAGGAAACTCCTCTCTAGTAGTATCCCGAGTCGAAAAAAGATTTAGAAGTCCTGGTGCCCTACGATTTCAAGTCTTACGATAACTGTGACAAGAATGCCTTTCGAGCAAACCTCGCACTGGTAACATTGAAGCTCATTTTTGGTCAGTTTAACGGATGAAATCTCCATATAATCTTCAGCAGTTTTATCCGTCCCCACTTAGAGTACGGAAACATAGTCTTTCCTTCCTCACTCCAAGAGGATAAGGACACTCCAACGGCGAGCCACGAAGTCAGTTCGGAGACTCAAATTTAAACCTTGTGAAGAGCGCCTCCAATCACTTAACCTTTACCCATTAGAGTACAGGCGTCTTAGAGGTGACCTTCTGATGGCTTACAGTATCCTTAACACTTCTGGACATCCCCCTAAATACCTACTCAAGTTTAGCTTCAACACGAATCTATAAACAGTTGCTACTGAACTGACTAGAATAAGTGAAGTAAAAAGGTTA